CCTGCTGGCCGAAAAACGTCGAGGCGGATTGTCGTCACGATAATATCGACTAGCTTTTGCTGCGATAACGAACGATGAGCCGACGTGGTCGGCTGCCATTGACGTAATCGAATTAGGGGAAAAAAGTCTGCAACGTGTATAATTGTCCCATCTGGGTCTAAAATAAGTGGCCATTTACCTCGAGAGAACAGAATCATTTTCCAAAATCGTAACAAGGCTTGCTTTAGAAAGACTGACATTTATTCGAGAAATCAATTCTTAGAGATTTACGCATATGTCGCTACAGAGAGATTGTTGTCGAGATTGAACGGACGAAAGATATCGTTTTGCTTTTGCAAATTTCTACGAAGGCGGTGCCGAGAACACTAGTGTCTTGTCTGTGAAACGAAAGATTAATTGTACAAATCTGATATTTATAGTAACTAAAATATAAACGAAATTAGAAAGATAATTAATCGAAATATAAATGACACATGGAAAATATTATCCTTTCATTGAAACTATCTATCCATTTGCTCTATAAGCATTCGTCTCATTCGATGAAAGAAGGCAGAAAACGAGACGAATTTTTCGATTTCGATGACGAAAATACCGAATGGACCGAACGTCCAATGTTCACGTTCGATTTAATCCCAAAGACTTTGGACTTCGAAGTGACTAACATCTGTCGGATTAAAGTCATTAAAGTCCGGTGAACTGATCCAAGTGCTAGTATATACTGGCAAATCTAAATATCCTTCGTCACCGAATACATATAAATTCGGTATTGAATAATCCTCCAAGAGGAGAAGACAAGATGGCGGGCATGTGGTACATATATTTTCAATCCACGCAGCCGGACGAGGCAGCCTTCCTTTTGCCGTGACATAAATAAAAACTATTCCTCCTCGAAATTCGTGCGTGACAACGAGGAGGAAAAAAGAAAAAAAAAAAAAAACAAGAAATACACGCTTATAAATATGCATCGTGTTTACCGCGTATTAGATACGCGAGCTTCGCACGGACAGAATACGTCAGTTAATGAAAACTGTTTTTCGCGTTTATCGCATCCTTCGTCGTTATCGAAAGCGCCTCCAGCGGATCGTCTCTTCTGTCTCGAACACGTTGTTTTCCATAGATTATAAGCTACACGTGCCGAATGATTTTGCAACTGTTCAAGGTTCACGAACGAACAAAAAAAAAAAAAAAACGGTGGATAATGCATTTCGATCTGAAACTTTTTTTTCCTTGCGTTTTGAAGTTGGTCGAAAAAATGATTAAATTTATTTGGAGAGTAAATTAAAAAGAATATTGAGAATCTCATGATAAAAAAATATTAAATCAAAAGTTAAATAATGTTATAAATGTGTATTGAAGCAAGGGTTAATTGGCAATCGTACTTCGTTCGCGATTTCAATCTCTTGAAGGACCGTGTTCCTTTTTATATTTGGGGAAAAAATATATATGTTCACAGAAAATTAGCTACGAGGAAGGAAGACGCTTTAAAAGGAAATTTCGCAGTTTGGTTTTGAATACAAGATGCTTAAATGTTCGTTTAAGGATAGATTGTTAATGAGGGAAAAAATTAACTTTCCTTGAAATTAATAAATACGCTCGAAATAAGAAGCACTTCCGCGAAGAAAATGCAGTTTCTCGTTCTAGGAAATTATGATTTCTTGCGATGATATTCCTTGAAAAATCCTCGACGAATGTTAATGAATATTTTCTGGCAAGATTTTGTAAAATCTTGAAATGCAAGCGCCGTTTAAAAATTTTATATGCGATTGGCAAGAATTTTTATCTGATCAGGAAAATTTTATGGCATCGAAATTATTAAAATTATTTGATATTATTATTATTAAAAGCAATTGTAAAATTCCAATTCTTCGAGAGTAAAAATTGATTACAAATATAATTATCAAAATGATTAATATATTGTTGGATTTGAAAATTCTTTTGATTGTAACAACTTTTAATATTTTAAATAAAAAGATAGCAGATTGATAAAATTTGTTCAATTTCTCCATTCGAGTTAAATTAAATTTCTCTCGGATATCATGCTTCAGCAATTCCTTCAAACATTCTCCGACATTTCCAATATTTTCTCTTTCTATAATGAACAAACTTTCCTTATTCCTTTGTCATCTATTCAATAAGATATTAAGATGAATAAAATGCGATAAATAATAATCAAAATCGAATCAAACTCTATCGTGTAATCACTTCACACTTTTGAAAAGACGAACTTTACCTTCTTTTTCTCCTTAAAACCGATATTTCAATATTTGAATAAAAAATTTTTCAAAAAATGACCAATGTCTTTTTCCAGCTAAAATTTAAATATTTCGAAAAAAAAAAATAAAAAACAAACGAGAATATGATTCAGCAATCATAGCCGATATATTGGCTGCATAAAAATGCAAATCGTTTCGCGCGTGGATATTTCAAAAAGTGTGAAATATTTTAGCACAACAATCAATCGAAGAAGAGGAGGATAAAATTCCTTCGATGTATAAATACTACCGCAAAGTAATCAATTAAAATTACAAGAAATATTCGCTGCATTACCTACTCTGTCGACAAACACGTTATCTTTTATAAATTCACGATACGAAGTTCCATTTGTTACGTAATAACGCGTGAAACTTCACGAATAAATTTTCTTTTCAAGCCATGAATGCTCCTTTTTTAACGCACGTTTCAAAATTTCGCATTCGTGTTTAAAATAACAAAATTTAACTGATTACCATCGAAAGGATTGCGAACCCTTTTGTGTCTATCGCGAGATATCGTTGACTCGATGATACAGGACAAGATGTTTCGTGTCGCAATATCGTTTACGTGATATCACGGCGGAGATATCTCGCGTGTCTTTTATTAGAATACGAAATGTATCGTCTGAAAATTTGAAAATAAAAAAAAAAAAAGGACAAGATGTGGAATACACATATTTCAAAGTGTCCGATAAGTGACGTTCAATTTTAACACGATTTGAATGCGGATGACGTGAACATATGTGTCATAGATTTTTCTTCGTAGAAACGTAAAAGGTGCAAAAGAGTTTTCGGATAGATATTCGGATTTCCATACGCGTTATTCACTACCAACGTTACCCGTTTCGAATCTCTCCATGCATTTTTCTCTCCTCTTGTTTTTTCCCTCCCTATCAAGAAAATTATTATATCGAGAATTTCCTGCAACCTTTGAACAAACAAGGATAAAAGATAAAATATTTCATCCTTAGCGTTGCGTATAAACGATATTTCGACACAAGACATCTGTCAGTGACCAAAGTTGCGAAAAAAAAGAAACAAAAACACCGGTGCCCTCGTTACTCCTGGCAATATGATTCTTTTTACCAACGTGATCTGCATACAATCTTTCCATTCCCCGGCCTCGTTTCTTAAATCGTTCTACAAAAGTCCCGACAAAAATTCTCGAATGCTTATCCAATTAATTTACAAGCGGAGCTTAATCCATATCAAAATCTTCGTACAGAAATCAAGGCGAAAAGATTCAAAAGTTTCCACGCTTAATCGAAATAAAAAAAGAGATCTCGAAACAAATCTTTTTTAACAAAAAAAAAAAGAAGAAAAAAAGAACGAGATCCACTCGAGGCGATAACTTGGCAATTTCTTCGGGCCAACCGATTGCGTAACGTGCGAGCGTGAAGGAATTTCATCGAGACTTTAACGAGCGGATAGGCGGCCGGTTAATTCGAGATGGCGGCTAATCACGAGCGGGCCAGCCGTATCGTTTCGCGAGAGCGGGAAATCGGTCGAGAAACGCGGCCCGGAGCCGGATTCCGCGCGTGCCTTTCAAGGTCCCCTCGATATCCACGCGTAGACAGGAAACGGTGTGTCTCTCCGACCGATAGCCCCTTTCCTATTTTCTTTTCCTTTTTATCAATCATTCGAAACTAGTTCGCCTCGTGAATGGTGTTTGACTTTTCTTTCACTTGCTCGCCCTCTATTCTTTCTTTTCTTCCTCTTTTTTTTTTGTCGAACTGATTAAAGAAACCATCGTGTTAACACGATAGAAATAATGTTAAACTTAACATTACACTTGATTCAACAGTGATGCAATATGAATAAAGTGAGAGACTATCAGGACTATCTTCTTTCTTTCTTCCTTTTACATATAAGAGTTTAAGAAAAATTATAAAATATAACGATGAAACGTACGTTTCGGTAAATGAAAACAGCGTCCTCAAACACATTACTCTCCAAGTAAATTCTTAGATTAATAAACAATTGGAAGCTCGCGTGGATAGAAAATTAATCAGCACAGAAGAAGAAGAAGAAGAAAATAGACAGATAGGCATCTTTGCATCGTTGTCTCGCGTGGTTTCGAAAAATTCGTGGCGTGGCCACGGAATTCTGAATGGAATTGCGTCCTCTCGAGATCATTCCATTCCTTTGGAAATGAGCTAGGACGCGTTCTGCGGCGGGACGATAAGCGGTACCGATAACGGGGAGAATGCACTGACCGGATTTCTCGTCCCGTTGGAATTTCCGCTGGATCCGGTGATACACGTTCCCCCATGGGGGAGGTCGAGTGACCAGGCTCGCGACTCGTCCGAATTATTGTAAATATTTCTGCGCGAAAACTACCCCCCCCTGCTTCGCACCCCGCGATTTTCGCCCGGAAATGGGGTCGACGAAGTTTCGACGCTGCCCAAACAAAGCCCCTCGTGTGCAACAATGGAACGAGAGAACCGTTTCCACGACTTTTAACCGTTCGCTTCCGAGAGTAAATCTGGAGTATTTGGCCGTGATCGGTGAAATTGAACGATTGGAAAAGAAGCTTTTCGAGCTTTTTCCCCTCTTTTTGTTATTGGTTTCATTGGTTTATTCGTGGTTTATACGTGGAATGAATGAATAAATTTACATTTGACAGTAAAAGTTTTGCATTTAGTAGAACATCAAATGGAATGATAAATCTTTTTAAACGATTAGCATTAATTTTGATGGATTAAAAAAGAAAAAAGGATTGTACTGGAGAAAGTAAGCGCACGATGAAATTTAACAATGGCCGGCAGAAGAACAGCTTCCAACCGAATTGTCTGTTCCCCCCTCTCGCGAAAGAAAGATTTACGTCCGGAAACGGCGAAAATGCCTTCCTGGACTCGTTACGCGATCGTAAGGTAAACAGGAAGGGGGGGGGGGGGATCGGCTAAACAAATCCGAGAATAACCACGGAGAGACGGGTGAACCGTAATAAAATCGAATCGATGGCCGCGGATCGTACGTCACAAATTATCCAATTGGCCGAGACAAAAGATTTATTTCTATCGGCTCCCTTAATTACGTCACCCTGTAATCCAATAACAGTTACTCGACGTTCCAAGTCACGTTAATCCGTGGATTTTGCGCCACGAGGGAAGGATGGAAATATTCGAAAATGGCGCGGTTCGTGCCGGGAGAAACAGGAAAAACGAAAGTTAATACGTGTTTTTGATTTTTTTTCTTATTCATGACGTTGCTGTAATAATAATATAGTTCTTGTTAATAATATTTTAGGAAATACCATTTGAGAAAAGAAAATCAAACCTACTGTATTTTCAATAGGATTTTTAAAAATCTATTTTCTGTCTAATTACATCTACCTTATGAATAGTTTTATGTAACTAGAAAAATTTGATAACAAAAAGAAATATTTTATCGAAAGTACAAGTACGTACATCGTAATAAATTGGATTCTTAGCAGTCTTTTGCCAAATAATCGAATACTATATAAAAAATAAATGAATAAATAGGTACACTCTTCGAGAGAAAAATGGTAATAAAAATTTTTCGTATAAGCGTGAAATGTACGAGAGACAAATTGAGAGAGGAAGGTAGAACAAAAGTTTCATAGGAATAATAATGAATAATAATGACATCCTATCGTCGAGTTATTTACTCGGGGGAACGGGAGGGGGAGCGGGGTTGAAAGGAAGAAAATAAGGAAAACACGAGGGTTGCCGAGGCTATCGCGGATCCGGGATAATAGGCGTGCCGATGTGCCATTAGCGTGTCATTAGAGCGTCATTAGCGCACGATACGCAAAGCGCAGGAAGCGAGCGATGTTTGTTATTTAAAATCCAATCGAGCCATCCTGCGCCAAGCGCCACCTGTAATTGCGGCAACTATGTAGACGATCGAGGAATGGCGCCAAACAGGCGTTCAACTCCCCCTCCTTTGCAACCGGATCCGACTCCATTATTTTTCGTTTCCGTATAAATCTGCTCTGCGATTGGCCACTATCTTTTTTTCTTTTTCCCTTCCTTTTCGTAAACAAAACCGAAATGAAAATTAATCCGATCAATCTACGTTCCTCGTTACGGCTCGATAAGTTTACGTCCTCAATGATTGGCCAATAAAAAGAAACGGTTTCGCAAAGGAAAAAGTCAAAAGTTGAAGTCACTTTAGAAAACTCTTAGTTAACTTTCTCAACGTTCCCTCATTTTTGGAACACTCTGTATTTACTTATTAAACGTAGCCGTTTCCTACCTGTTCCATCATTGAACGAACGAGACAAATTATCGGTGGGGATGTGATTAATAGCGGTTAAGTCGAGACAAGGGGGAAGGACAAGAGAAAGAGGGGTGAAGAAAAAAAAAAGAAAGGGAGGAAGGGTGAAGGAAGAAATACTTTTTGAAATCCAGCTCCATAGATGGCAAGATGTTTGTGTTGAACATTGAGGAGGTCGCGCAATTATATATCGCGGTGATTAAGGTCGTGGCATTTCGTGAGAGGCCATTAAGAAAAGTTTGAATAATCTACGCGCGTAAAGATTTAACAGGCGTGCGTCACTTACCATATATTCGTTATCGCGGATTTTTCCCTTATTTTTATGCACGTCCGCTGTATGGAACCGCCTCGTCGCCTCTCGTCAACTTTTAATTGTCGCCCTTTCGAAATAATGTCAAAAATATGTAATCCCTTTTTCCCCAATCTTAACCTCGCGTAACAACAAGTCTTCCTCTCCCGAATTCATTCCAAGTTTACATATTCGACAACGATACGTTACGATTGATACAATTGAGACGCTCGCACACTTTAAACTCATTTCATTCAACTTTGATTTTTTACCATAAAAATAATTCTTGTTTGAGTTTGAAGAATTTTCTAAAATTACTCTGAATTTTACAAATTTCGGATTCGTAGATTTAAAAATTAACCGTTACGACGAATCTGTATGATTTTTCAAAAATGGCGGACGCCATGAGGCCAAACGAAAGACAAACGGAAGAAACAGGGCACAGCCGAGCATTCGTGCGACGATTAAGGCGCGCGCTTGCTCGTTCTGATTAAACAGGTCGAGCAACGCGATAGAGAGCGGAGAACGAGACTGCTCCAATATTGACTCGCCGTGTTTGGGCCCCTTTAAGGGACTGATTACGACACTCGCGCACATGCGCAACCTGTGCACACATGCCACTCAAGAATTTTCACGGGGCCTGTGTGTCGCGGTCCGATACACACGTGTTTTAATTCCACGCTTTCTTTTTTCTTTCCCTATTTGCATCCCGTATATATACACATCAAACAACCCTTTTCTCGTGCGATTCGATAATATTTAACGAGTTTTATAAAGAATATGCTTCGAATTCTTTTCGTTTTATTCCTCAACATTTTGTTGAGTTGATAAGATCGGTTTCACAATGAATTTTACACGTTTAATAAATGTCAACGAAGAAGTAGAAGCAATTCTTTTTAACATTCTTTCTTGTCCTCACTTGAGAACATTTTTTACAACGCAGGTGATATATTTTTTTACTCTTAACAACGTTCAAATACAGCGTCTCGAATGTGAACGTAGCTTAAAAAAAAAAAAAAAAGGGAACCGCGCTTACACCGTGAACTTTCGCGAAGCCATTAACACCATTAACGTATCATCAGATTGTCGCGTTTCACCAGTTTTCGGTATCGTTAAGAGGTTTCCAAAGTTTTCAATTTCGTGATAAAGAGGCCGGTTTTCAAGTAGTACACCAAGTACACAGAGACGGCTTATCGATCCGATCCGAAATTGCCAGATTTCGCCGTCGAGCGCAATTTACAACGCGATACAGTAATTTTGCGCCATTACCGCGATCATGGCGGTATATTTTAGCAAAAGAACCCCCTGCCGCGGGTTGTTTCACGTTGCGCAGCCACGATATAAACCGATCAAACGCGGCCAATCCACGTTTCGTTTCTGGAACGCGGTCCGTTTCCCTCCTTTCGCGTAATGGTTAACCGAAATATCTTTGCCTTTTTGCAAAACCCTATCCAACAGTTCCTTTAAAGAGCTTCCCGATATATCGATATCGTTTCGCATCGTTGCGCTTTAATCTTCGAAAAACGACGATAACGACGATTATTATTAAATTCTTGCGCGATTATATATACCTCGATCCATAAATTTACTGCATTTCAATTCTTCCCTCTTTCTTCTCTTATTTTTCTTTTATCATTAAGAAAAGTATTGGCGTGATTAGAGATCGAGTTCCGCGAATACGTCCGATTCTTTTGTATCGTTTCCTTCTATACACGAGATTACAAATATTTTCGACAAAAATCTCGGTTCACGTCGCAAGCCTGTAATTTATCCTTGGCGAAACTTCCGGATCGCGTGTCGGTCCAACTTTCAGCGACCTGCCACCCCTTACACACGCTTGCGCTCCTGTTATTTCGGTTTCTATTATATCAATGGCGGCCACTTGCCTCAATTCGGATGCACCTCTTCCTTAACTCCATGTAATTTCTTTTGCCCGTTTAGATTAACTTCCCTCGCGTTTCGTTTCGGCGATAAAAAAATACACGTGGTGGTTTTTTTACACGTACCCTTTGCACGTGTACGATTCTCTGAAAAACAATTTGATCGTAAAAGGCGTTTGAAGGCAGAAGATAACCCGAATAGAACTAAATTCGTATCGGTGACCTTTAATCTTTACAAGTCATTGAATTTGCAAATTCAATCACTTGTATCGCTAATTGATTTCGAATAATATATGCTAAAACGTCGAGTTTATTATATTTGCATTAAATTAGAAGCAAGGCTTCTACTCGACGATGCAAATGCCCGCGCCAATTTGCATTTCGGGTAATATATATATCGATCTAACAATTTTTAATTTTTCTCTCGTTTTCCACTTCTATATTATATATCACGTTGTGCCAACCAGAAAAGAAAAAAACAAGAAAAAAAAAAGAAGAGAGAAAAATTAAATCCGCATGGAAAATTTCTTCTAATTAAATCGGTCACTCAAAAGGTTAATATTTCCATACAAAAAAGGTACGAATCGTGGAAGGTCGATGATACAAAAATCGAAGACATGGCCATCGACGATCCATCGGCACATCCACCGACGATAACGAAGCAACGGTATTCGTGTTTCGTCGACTGTTGTCGTCGCGAAAATGTGTCGGTTCGTTCTCTTCTGTTCGCGTAAAAGGCGCCAGGCCAGGCGCTCGATAACGGATCGAGCGCGTACGCGCCGTGAGAAAATGATGATAACAAACGTTCCACGTGTTCCGTGATGCAACCTGTGCATACGTACGAGCTCACATATGCGCAGCGATACGCGGCCGTTGATACGTCGAACGAACGAGATTAATTTTTTTCTCGCCCAATATTATAACGGGTATAATAAATATATAATAATCTGGAAATGATTTTCAATATTTTTCGCAGGCTAATCCAAATTTGTTTTACGAGAAGAAATATTTTTTTCCAATCCATTTTCTCTCGTACAATGGTATCGTGTTTACGAATCGCGTGATGACGAATATTTTTCTATATTTGATGACTTTCGTTTTCTTCGGAAATACGATATGCGTGAAAGGCAATTTTACAATCGTACGATTCCTCCGTGTTGCGTAGATTTTCAGAAGAGAATTGGATACTATGTATAGGAAATGAAAAAAAAATAATTGAAGAAACAATTGTTGTTTCGTTAAATTGCATTGCCAATTTGACGAAATTATTACGACAAAAGATATAAGCGAGGAGTTGCAAGATACACATATCTATCATCCTACTTAAAAAATTGCTGACATTACTTAATACTATACGTCACTTAAAAAAGTAAGCAAGTTATATAAAAAGAAATGGAGATTCTTCCTCTTTTTCTTTAATAAATTTATCGCTCGATTAACCAAATATCAAAAATCGCTTGAACTTTAGGAATATTCGAAAATCGACTTGAATTAACGAATTAACTTAGGGAGGGGAAGCGGTGGGGGGGAAATGATAGACACTAGTTGTACGTATTATGGGCCAAAATGCAACACTCTGGAAAATTTCCACGAGCCCCTCCCCCCCGTTCCCCGCCCATTGTCATGCCGTTTGTTTTAAACCGGGAACGTGCGTCAATTCTCCGTGTAATTCAACCGACCTGTTATGTGTCTCATGTATATGCATGCGCGGCCAATCCAGCGCATTTTAATCGCGACAGCCACGAAATCGCGGCTCAAGAACGTATGCACAATCACCGCGGATACATCTATTTATCTTCCAACACTCGCGTGCGAAATGATACAGATTATTCCGCCAAAAACGTATACGTGTCGTTAACAGATTCTTAAATTGGCGTTCTTTTGCATGAGGAAGAGGGAGGAGGAGAACCGTTATTATCGTATTCTCGAATAATCAGCGAAGAAGAAGAACGAAATTTTCCAATTGTCATGTCCAATCGAACGAAATCGAATCTGTAAAGTCGCACGCGACGCGCCATTGCGGGATCGAGCATGGAGGAGAGAGATCAACCACTTCTGTCCCGGTTTGACATTTAATTCGACGATCGATCCAACACA